TGGAGCCAGCGGGAATGAATATCATGATCTCAATGTCACGTGTGTCAGTGCAGGACAAGACTAAAATTGGGGTTGTGTCACAGAAAAGTGGTAGATTACAAGGGAGCCACAAAAATGCAAGGTGTTCACAGAAAGCACAATGACAAAAGATTCACTAAATGTAATCTCATAGGATGCAGTGAGGAAGTTATGGCAGAACATATTGCTAGGGGGCCATCAAAGGCCACTGAAGAGAGAATAAAACATTCAGTGGAGCTAAGAAGACAAAAAAATACATCTGAGTGAAATAGTCCAAGATGAAGTATACTAGTGTCTAAAGCTAACTGAGGAGCTGTGGTAGCCTAGTGCCTAAGACACTTGACTGCTAACCAGAAGGCTGGCGGTACAAGCCCACCAGTCATCTATTTCCATAGTGATACTGCCTCAGAAACCCAAGGTGTGGTCATCATGAGTTGGGTCCAACTCGATGACACATAACAACAACAACCTGGCTAACTAACTAGAGTAGCTAGACTGCTAACCATAGGTTGGGGTTCAAACCCACCAGCTGCTCTACAGAAGGAAGATGGAGCAATCTACTCTCATAAACCACCTCAGAAACCCAATATGGGTTGCTATGAGTTGAAATCAACTCAACAGCATTGAGTTTTGAGTTTGGAAGTCAGTAAGTTATCTAATGTTTCAGAAGTAATGACTATTGAGTAACTGAGAACAAAGGATGACATATGGCCGAGGAAAAGATACTGAGGGTGTGAAGCTGGAGTCCAGGCAGATTGTTGTTGTTGTTGTTATATGCCGTCGAGTCAGCCCCGACTCATAGCAACCCCTCCTTGGGTTTCCGAGGCAGTATCACTACGGAAGTAGGATTGCCCAACCTTCCTTCCGAGGAGTGGCTGGTGGATTTGAACAGCCAGCCCTCTGGTTAGCAGTCAAGTACCTTAGGCACTATGCTACCAGAGCTCCTTAGTGCCATCTTTATATTTTCCAGCTAAGTAATCAGGTATATCAGGAAAAATAGATTAAAGAGGACTAGCCAGGTCTCTTCAGATTCTATCAATTCCAGGAGGATGAAGTCAGAAACATTTGTGTTATTCTTTCTGCTTAGAGTGTGCAACTTCTCTAAACTGTAGGAGGTTAAAGTTGATATTTAGCATCAATGACTTATACTGAGTGTTTGTAAATATGAATGATTTGGCAATTAAAAAAAGTTTGTGTTTATAAAATTTTTTATGAAAGAGCTTTATTAAATATGGCTCATAATTTCATTGCATATATAAATAGGGATTTCAGTTGACATTGAGGTATGTAAATATGGATATCAATTGCTGTAGTAATATTACATAATAAAAGAGTATCATATAATATAATATTAGAATGTAACTTCCAGGCTTCCTTAAGCTTCCCTATGTTAACAGATTCAATACCCATGAAAATGTCATACCTAAGGTATTGCTGTTATACTCACTTTTAAATAGAAAATTGGCACAAAATTTTAAGTAATTTATACAATCCTGGAGTTAGTAAATGTTGAATTTATTAGAAAAAGTATGCTTATAACGTTATTTTATTTTATTGCAATTTCATTTTTTAGGTGCCATTGAGTGGTTTCCGACTCATAGGGACCCTATGCACAGTAGAACCAAACACAACCTAGTTCCACACCAGCCCCATGATCCCTGCTTGAGCCCATCACTGCAGTCACTGGGTCAATCCATTTTGTTGAGGGCCTCCACCTTACCAAGCATGACATCCTTCTCCAGGGAATGGTTCCTTCTGACAACATGACCAAAGTAGGTGAACATATGCCACTTCCTGAAATGGATGAAGATCAATTAGTTCTTTTTGGTACAGTGACTCTGTGTATTCCTTCCATCTTCTTTTGATACTTCCTGCATCATTCAATGTTTTGCCTACAGAATCTTTCAATATTGCAACTAGAAGCTTAAATGCTTTTCTCAGCTCTTTCAGATTGAGAAATGCCAAGTGTGTTCTTCCCTTTTGGTTTTCTAATTCAAGGTCTTTGCACCTTTCATTATAGTAATTGGCTTTGTCTGCTCAAGCTGCTCTTTGAAATCTTCTGTTAAGCTCTTTTGTCTTGTCATTTCTTCCATTTGCTTTAGCTCAAAGGCAAGTCTCAGAGTCTCTTCTGACATCCATTTTGGTCTTTTCTTTCTGTCTCATCTTTTTAATGACCTCTTGCTTCCTTCATGGATGATGCTCTTGAGGTCATCTCACAATTCTTCTGGTTTTTGGTCATTGGTGTTCAATGCATCAACTCTATTCTTTAGATGGTCTCTAAATTCAGGAGGGATATATTCATGATCATATTTTGGCTCTCATGGTCTTATTTTAATTGTCTTCAACTTCAAGTGGAATTTGTATATGTGGAATTGATAGTCTGTTCCACAGTCAGCTCTGGCCTTGTTTTGGCTGAAGATATTAAACTTTTCCATTGCCTCTTGCCACAAATGTAATCTGATTCCTGTGTACTCCATCTGGTGAATTCCACATGTATAGCTGCCATTTGTGCTGTTGAAAAAAGGTATTTGCAATGAATAAGTCATTGGTCTTGCAAAATTCTGTCGTGTGATCTCCAGCATTATTTCTGTCACTAAGGCCTAATTTTCCAACTACTGGTGATTCTTCTATTTTTTCAACTTTTGCATTCTAATCACCAGTGATAAACAACACATCTTGATTGCATGTTTGGTCAATTTCAGACTGCAGAATTTGATAAAAATCTTCAATTTCCTCATCTTTGGCTTTGGTGGTTGGTGCACAAATTTGAATAATAGTCCTATTAACTGGTCTTCCTTGTACGCATATGGATATTATCCTATCGCTGACAGCACTGTACTTCAGGACAGACCTTGAAATAGTCTTTATGAAGATGAATGCCACGCCATTCCTCTTTAATTTGTCATTACTGGCATATTAGATCACATGGTTATCTGATTCAAAATGGCCAAAACTGGTCCATTTCAGCTAACTAATGCCTAGGATATCAATCTTTATGCATTCCATTTTATTTTTGACAACTTCCAATTTTCCTAGATTCATACATTGTACATTTTGTGGTCTGGTTATTAAAGGATATTTCCAGCTGTTTCTGCTCAATTTGAGCTGTGCCACAACAGCACATGGAGGTCCTGAAAGAGTTACATCATCCATATCATTAAGGCTGGTTCTTCTCTAATGAGGCAACCCTTTCTCAGTCCTATTTTGAGTGCCTTCCAACCCTAGGGGGTAGACTTCTTGCACTGCATTGGACAATGTTTCCAAGATATTCATAAAGTTGTCCAGTAATGTATCAGATAGTGTTTCTCTACTATTCATAATGTTTTCCCTGGCCAATTTTTGAGAAGTGGATGGCCTCCTCCTTCTTCCTAGTCTGTCTTAGTCTGTAAGCTGCATTGAAACCTGTGCACCATGTGTGACTCTGCAGGCATCTGAAGCACCAATGGCACAGCCTCAACCTCACAGCAACGTACATGCCTCACAGGATGACAAACTGACAGACAGCTTGTTTCCCTTAGCTTTACAGTATTTCTCTATTGACAGTTTTAAAACAAATGAGTGAAGCATTTTGATAACAGTTTTTCAAAGAACACAAAAAGCCTACAGAAATGAGGGTGAAGATAATGTTTCTTTTGAAATACGTCAAAGTTCACTGTTGTTGTTATGTGCCGTGGAGTTGGAGCCGACTCATAGTGACCCATCCTTGGGTTTCTGAGGTGGTATCACTACAGAAGTAGATTGCCCAACTTTCCATTCCAGGAGTGGTTGGTGGGTTTGAACTGCCAGCCTTCTGGTTAGCAGTTAAGTGGCTTAGGCACTATGCTACCAGACCTCCTAGAAGTAATTTATTGAGACTCTCTGACAGATCAGAGAAAGGTGGGATTTCAATTGTTATGTGAATTGAAACTAATGATTATCACTGCATGCAAGTTTTCAACCTGATGTATTTATAAAATGGTAAATCCAAAAATCCTTGAAAGATGATGGTCCCAATTTTGCCCATGTGCAAAAACCATATTCATTTCAAAGGTTTTAATGACAAAGGAATTCACAAATATACTAGTAAATGTAAACAAAGAGGCAAGATAATATAGGATTTTTTAATGTATGTAAGATATACATGCATAGATATTAGTCTAAATGAACATAAACAAAACTATCAAGAATTTGTAGGACTTTCTATTTTTCAAATAGTTTTCAAGTTTTCTTCAACGTTAACATATACCATTTTCTTGTCTTTAATTGTATTGCAAAATTTACTTAATTGTACTTTCAAAAGTGCAAAAGGGTCAGATTTTTACATTGAATATTTTAGCTTCAATGTGCATATCAATTAAAATTTACTTAACAAAAATAATTTATACAAAACCAGTTATTATTCTTCATAATAAAGGATATTTTATCACATTTAAACTTTAGTATAACTCTTGGGGCCAGGAATTATTATTTTCTTCTTATAGTTAAGAAAAATAAGGTTTATAGTGTTAGTAACTTATTAAGAGTCATGCAACTAAAAGGGTAGCAGACCTGGAATGTCTATTTCTAAACAACGGCACCTAACTACTCCATTTATGTGCTATATTTCTTCTCTGTGTAATACAGTATGACTCCTGAAATTGTTACTATTATACCAAAAATGTAGCTATTATTCATAATTGAATTCTCTGAAATTGGATATGCATAGTGATTGGTAAGATATAGTTTAAATAATATCACACTTTCTTCTTTTGCACATGAATTTCCCTTAAAAGCATATAGATTTGAACTTCTAGTTTAACTTTTGTTTCATAGTTCTAATTACACTCAGGATTCCCAGAAAGATGTATTGCTGGAAATATCTATGATCATATATAGACCAGTAAAGAATGGCTGCACAGAAAGAGAATAATTGAAAGATCTCATTGTTTTTAGAGAGAAAGACCTCCAGAAAAAAATATCCAGTAGGAAAAAAGAAAATATGAGATTCAGTAATTTACACACTGTTATCTTAAATGTCCGGTGCTGTCTCTCTTCTGCATAACTCTAATGATAGCATTTTTCACTTCTTTATTCCTTAGACTATAAATAAGTGGGTTCAGCATGGGGATCACAATAGTATAAAAAACAGAGGCCACATGTTCTTGTCCCAAGGAGTAGGACTTACTTGGCTTTAAATAAGTAAAAATGATGGTACCATAGAATATGGAGACTCCCAGTAGGTGGGATGCACAGGTGGAGAAAGCTTTTTGTTTTCCTGAATTGGATTTGATTTTCAGGATAGTAGAGAGAATGGAAGCATAGGACACAGACATTGTAATAATGGACACCACTGCAGTGAAGCCACCAAGAATGAATATAATGATCTCAATTTCATGAGTGTCAGTGCAGGACAGGACTAAAATCGGGGATATGTCACAGAAAAAGTGATGGACTACATTTGAGTCACAGAAATGCAAGGTGTTCGTGGAAAGAACAATGACAAAAGATTCACTGAATGCCATCACATAGGATGCAGTGATGAGGGAGCGGCAGAGTGTCATGGACATAATAACTGAATATTGTAGAGGATTGCAAATAGCTACATAGCGATCAAAGGCCATTGAAGAGAGAAGAAAGCATTCAGTGGCAGCCAAGGAGATAAAAAAATACATCTGGGTGAAGCAACCAACTAATGAAATATACTTGGTATAAGCCAGTAAGTTTTCTATGGTTTTAGGGGTAATGACTGTTGAGTAACTGAGATCAAGGAATGAGAGGTGACTGAGGAAAAAATACATGGGGGTGTGAAGCTGGAGATCCAGGCGGATTAGCAGTATCATCCCTGCATTCCCCAGCACAGTCACCAGGTAAATCAGGAGAAAGAGACTGAAGAGGACCAGCCGCATCTCTTCAGAGTCTGTCAATCCCATGAGGATGAAGGCAGACACGTTTGTGTTATTCTTTCTACCCATAGTGTGTCTCTTCTCTAAACTGTAGGAGGTTAAATTTGATACTTAGCATCAGTGACTTCACACAGGTTTTTGTTTATGTGAATGACCCAGCATTATAAAAAACATACTTGTGAATATAAAAATTGATAACACAGAGTGTTTTTAAAAATATGACTGCTCAAAATCTTAATTTCATTCCCATATATAAGTGTGAGTATAAATTATCATTGTAATATGACACAAACAAGTAGCGCATATTACAAAATTAGAATGGCACTTACGGTGTTCTCAGTGCTGTCCTTTATTAATACATTACATTCTTATGAAAATATCAGACCACAGGTGTGTTGTTTTTATCCACATTTGTTAATAAGAAAATTGGCCCAGAACTTTAAGTAACTTATCTGAAGTCAGAGTTCATAATGTTGGTTACATTATTATGTTAGGTTTATTCAAATTTAAAGGTTTTAGGTTTATTAGAAATTGAGTGTACTCATAACATTATAATTAATTTCAGCTTCCTGAGATAAAATTTAAGTGATAGAAACAGTATTTAATGTATTTTTACTGTCTTTTTTTACAGTAATATTTAATACAAGTGACAATCAGAAATTTCAACTTTGAGTTGAAATCATACACCACAGAAAACTCATTTATAAAGATATGCTGTGTTCTTAACTTGAGTATACAAAATCAAATTCCATTTGAAAGTTATATTTCCCAGGTATGAACACTGCTTGCATATAACTGATAGCATCAACTGTATATTTGTTTCAACATATATTGGAATTAGTTAAGGCAAGGTATAAACATCTATATCTGTATCAATGTCCATGTCTATGTCTATTCCTATAATGATTCCATTTTATTTTATCTGACCTAAAATAAACCACAACCTTGTCTCGTATTGGACTCCATCATATAGTGACCCTATAGAACAGAGTCGAATTACCCGAAAGGTACTGGATTATTCTGTGATTATTATAAAAGCAGGCTACCCCTCTTTGTCCTCTGGAGTCACTGGGGGGTGTGCACATCTTCTGTTTGGGTTAGCAGCCTAGTGCTTTCCCACCATGCCACCAATTCTTCTGTATCTGGCTTACTAACATCTAATTCTCAGAAAAATACTTACCATGACTCAAAGGTGATGAGAACATTTTTCTTCAAAAATTATGCATCATGGATTTTTGTCAAGCTCAAGTTTTTCTTCAAAACAAAACAAAAAATAAAATCTAAGAAGATGAAAATTTATATGATATAGTGTTGGTTTCCTTTTGATGCATTAATTTTACATTTTCATGCATGTATTTTTTTAGAGTTAAAGAAATCAAACCCCTCCCAATTTTGTCCATTTCCTAGTCAAATGTAAGCATCAGGAGGAAATTATGTATCTAAAAATAAATAAATAAATAGATACCAGCCAATGTTACCATAAGCAGAACAGAGCATCCCTTTCCTTCTATCCAATAATCCAGGACACCTCATATACTAGGGGTTGTTGACAATGTTGGTCATCCTTGGCTATTTCCAGGGAGATTGTTTGGCACATTTCCAAAAATAAAAGTTCAAGGATAATAGATTCACGTGAGGTTTGTGACAGAGAGCTGCCTACTCCCTAAGAAGCAACACAATGAGGAGCATGATGGTTTAGTCTTACTTTTGATCCTCCATAATTTGTTACTAGGATGCTATGCTAGAGAAATCATTTCTAGAGAAATGATTAATTTTTCTGTAAAAGTCAAGTGGTTAACTATGAGAGGCAGAATAGCATATTTTTTTCACTGAATTACATTTATGAAGTGTGATACTGTCATAGGAATAAAACTTGTATATTGGAAATAGAATACAATACTATTCAAAGAAAATGAAACCCATTCAAAACTATTGTTAATATTTTGATATATTTTCTTCCAGTTATTTTTCTTTATGCTTAAAATGTTTATTTATATGAGGGCTAATGTACTGAATCAATTATTACACTGTGTGTTCATTATTTTATATTCATTTTATGACGAAAAACTTATAATACACATTGATCTATGTTGCATTGTTGTTGTTGTTGTTATGTGCCATCGAGTCAGACCCAACTCATAGCAACCCCTCCTTGGGTTTCTGAGGCAGTATCACTACAGAAGTAGATTGCTCCATCTTCCTTCCAAGGAGTGGCTGGTAGGTTTGAACTGCTAGCCTTCTGGTTAGCAGTCAAGTGCCTTAGGCTCACATTCTATAAAACATACCAGAGCTTACATTCTATAAAACATACAATTTCATTTATTACACAGTGATGGGTACACTCTGGTGAACTTCCCTCCAGGAGTATCCAAAAGAATTGGACAGTTTGAGGCATTACAAGAAAAGTAGGGTGTGCATTTTCCATTCAGGTTGGACCGTGTCATCTAATTGATTTACATAGAGGTCTGTGTAATGTGTTTTACCCCTTTGTGTACTTTCCTTTTGCTTTATTTAAAAAAAAAAAAAATGGAAACAGAAAGAAAAAATGACCTACAACAAGTTGGACTGGCACAGTTGAAGTCACAATTGCCTTTTCTCTCTTTTTTCCTATCAGACTGGAGGGAAGTCATAATAGTATATGACCCTGTCTTCTATAATCAGAAGGAGATAATATTTTGGGAGATAGCAGAGCAACAACAATGATTACAATACACATATCCATGGATATTATTACCCGGTCCAGAGTTACCCACAACTCCACACACGTAAATTCTGCATGGTTCCATGAAAGAGTGATACTTTTCTCTTCTTTGAGCAACTCTGGTTTTGAATCCATTTTTTATACCATGATAGTCTGTACTCTGATTATGCAGCTTCTATCCTCAGAACAATCACATCAACTAATAAATGACATTTTTCTTTAAAGAGTTATTTATTTGTGTAAATGGGAAATAGTTTTATATTTGTGAAAATTTATTTGGTATTGCCAAAATCACAGTCTTTTATCAGTAACTTGAGACATACTACACTACCGTCTTATAACTCTTATTTAACCCTGTTATTTTTTGTAATAATGAATAACAGATTTTCTTTCCTCAACTCTGATAAGTGGAGTAAAATGAGGTTTTGTAGAAAAAAGTTATATCACAGACTGTTAGTTAAAAAATGTGGGGTGTAGAGTTAAACTTTTGGACCTCCCATGTAAACTTAACTATTACCTAGCTGAGTAAATGTGTACATGTTTCTTAATGCTTCTGTGCCCTGATTTCATTGTTTGTAATACCCAACTATTGATAAACATTTATTGAGACCCTGTTCTAAATTCTGGGTGTACAGCCTTGACAAAAAAAAAAAAAACCTCTTCATAGACTTTACTTGAAAGTAGAGAAAACAGACAAGAAAAAGTATAAGGAGAATATATAGCACGTTTAGTGGAGATAACTCTTATGGAAACAAATGACTCATGGAAGAGTGATGGAACAGTCTCATTTTAAATAACATGGTAAATTACAGACATAAAATTAGAAAAGAATTATGCAGTTATCAATGGGAAGAGAATTGGAGGATGAAAAGACTGGGCAGGAGAGCCCTAGGTCATGTCAGAACATATGTGTATGAAGGGAGTGAAGAGATAATTGTGGCCAACACTAAATGAGCTTGGCAGATAAACAAACAGGAGAAAGGTCCCAGAGTGTAAGAGTGGGGCAAGACTATTTATACTTGAGACTCCTTTTAGGGCGTTGGTCTTTACTATTATTATGCTAGGAAAGTTGCAAGATTTGAAAGAAAAAGAGATATTTAATGGTTTTACTCTAGCTCCTACATTGAAATTAGTTTCAAGAGGTGTAGGGAAATAAATGGAGAAAAGCCAACAAGATGTAGCAATAATTAAGACTGAGACTGGTTTCTGGGGTAAGATCATACAGATGAGGTATTGAGATTTGCTCAAACTCTGAATATATATTTGTTTTCATTACCTAGTGTGGCTCTGACAGGAATATACCATAAATAGGTGGTTTTAACAAACTAGAAGTTTATTCTTTTACAGTTTGGAGGCTTTAAGTCCAAATTCAAAATGCCAGGCTCTAGAGGGTAGCTGAAAGCCCCTCAACCTTGGGCTTTAGCTCTGCCTCCTGCTCCTGGCCCACTGAAGCTGAAGGCTCTTCTTCATTCAGACAGCTGCTGGCTGCTGAGGCTGACAAACTCAGGTTGACAAGTAAAAAGGCAGAGTCCCAATGTTACCAAACAACACAGCAGGCCACTAATCCAAGTCCAGTAGAAATCCCAGTATCAGCAGGGCACGGCAGACTGCTGAACAACAACTTGGCAACATGCAGGGTGCAAACATGCCAAAAGCTGAATACCTGCCTCAAAGTTGCTCTTATATAGTGGAAGTAGCCCACATCCCTAGAGCAGTTACTCAGTTGCTCAAATAACTACATCCAGCTACCCAGTCACTCAACCAGTCCCAGTCAAATTGACCCACAGTCTTAACTACGACAATACTATTTGTGTAATCAACATGATATGCTGACAATTAATTGGAGGTGTGTGAAATCAAAAGAAATATCAAGAATCCTTCCTAAGTTTTAGCATGAACAAGTAGAAGCATGGCTTCCATTATCTAAAATTAAATATTAAATATTGCTGTTTTGCTGTTGGGAGCTCTGGTAACATAGTGCCTAAGGCACTTGACTGCTAACTAGAAGGCTACCGGTTCAAACCCACCAGCCACTCCTCGGAAGGAAGATGGGGCAATCTACTTCCATAGTGATACTGCCTCAGAAACCCAAGGAGGGGTCACT